CATTGATTTATAATAAAAACAACTGATCCTAAAAGTAGTTAGTACCAAAAGCTATGATCAAAACAAGATATAATAAAGTAATTTTAATAAATAAAACATTTGCCATACAATAAGGAAAAGCAAACTGATTAAAGTAAGTAGAAGTTAGAATTAGGAAGCCTGAGAAAAGCGCTGTCGGAGGAATTCAAGTAACGATCAGGCTCACAGGAAGCAGACTGAGCATATAGGCAGGACCATTTAAGGTTTTAAAAGCAAGCAATAAAATCTTAAAATCAATTCTATAGCTCACTGGTACCCAGTGAAGGGCAGCCTTTTCTATCAGCACAAGTCCTTGGACGTTTTGCCTGCTTGTACTTTGGTAAAGTGCACTACTGCAGGTATCTTTGCAAATGCACTGCAGTATTTGAGTCTGTGAGAGAGAAAGGCATTGATAAACTTTTCTAAGCCTTTTAAAAAAGAAGTGGACTGATCTTGTTTAGTCACCTGAGAATCAAAGAAAACAAAAAATGATTTCTGTCGTTTGCTCGAAATAATATTAGCTACTTTACTCAGATTAGGAGTTTAAACTCTGCCAGCATTGTGTCTCTAATTAAAGTTTATCAGTTGGTTTAACTGAATTGCCATTAAATATGTGACAGACCTTCTTGTCTCCCATCAGGGTGATTTGCACTAACTTTGATGATGCAGTGTGCATTCACATATTCATACATGTACAGTGACTTATCTCCAGTAAATGAGCTTCAACGACTTCAAACATATTTTCACGAGGAGATCTGTGACAGAAAACCAAAGTTGTAAATGTGAGAGAATAAGCTAATAAGTGACTAAAGTGGTGGCTGCCAGCTTGCATCTATTTTAACACAGTGACATGTACTGTTGCAGTGCAGTAGGAGAGAGCGAGGTGTGACTTCATGATGGCTAAAAATGAGAACCAGACTCTTTCTCATCATGGTTCTGCAAAACCAGTCTGCTCTAGTCAGCTTGAAGCAAAAACAAAACATACAGTATGTGTGTCATTTAAATATTGCTTATTGCTTTTACTTTCTCCTTTAGCTCTCAACCAAGTGAAGTGCCATAAAAGTTACAAATCACGGCTCTTGGTGTAGATTTGAATGTATTAATTAAAGTTTTTGCACAATCCCTTCACTGCCTCCGGCTTTTGAGAGGAACTTTATGTTTTGCTCTTGTCGTATCGATTTACTGAGCTGAAGTTATTATTGAATCCTTAAGACAGCAATTTTAAACTCTGTCGTTTCGCCTGGATTTTCTAACAGACTTCTGGAGTCCGCTGAGTGCTTCGGACCTCCAAAACGGACCAGTGGAGCCAGTTGCATCAACCAGCAGCAGCCAGGCCCAGACCCAATGCTCTCTGCTGACTCGAGGCAAACAAGGCAAAGTGTGCTTCATCAACCCGCTTTTCCTGCAGCTGGAGGTCAGCAAGGTCAGTAATGAAGGATATGTGGTTCATTGAGCCCACTGACAGACTCCCCTGTTGGTCATTTTTTAGCATGTAATTGTTTGTGAACACGCCAAGTGTTCACCGTGGACTTTATTCATCTCCTTTAGAAAAATAAACAATTCAAAGTGTGGTGCTGAATCCACTTTTTAATTCTTTTTACAGCAGCAACAACTCACAAACCACAGTGCCTCCAATAAACGGCACCGCTTCAAGCGCAGCATGCGGCTCCGGCTCTCCGAGTCCTCCATGAATCTGTCCCTGGAAGGGATTGGCTCCTACTCACCTCCCCTGTCAGAGGACCAAGCTGGTGGGTCAGAAAGACTCCAAACCAACCCTCAGAGGAGAGTTCACGCCGGGGCAGGCATCCTGAGGAGAACCCCTGCTGTGTCGCCTGGGTCAGCAGAGGAAGACGACCTAATGTCTGTCTATGTGCCGCAAGTAATGCGTGTTACGATCTTTATCTTCATTTCAAACCATGCTTATACTCATGTGAGCAGACTGTTTTCTGAGACTAACACCATGTTGTCTCAGATCACTTTGCAATTCATAAAAATGTTTTCACACATGACAAAAAAATCTCATGTAAAATAATAACGTCTCTCCTGTTCCAGACACCTGCCAAGGTGGAGGAGCCTCCAAAGCCCCGGCAGGACACAGGTATTGAGGTGGCGGTTCTGGCTGGGGACCGTCGCGCAGCTCCGTCTTTGGCTGAGCTCGACAGCAGCAGCTCCTTCAGCAGTATGGACGAGGACAATGACTCAGATTCAGATCCAGAAAGCATGACCAAAACCCAGATGCACACCTACAAGCGTCCGCCGCTGGTGCGTGGCCGTGGCCGTGGTGGGCTGCATCGTATGAGTGAGGCCTTTGTGTGTTTCTTTGCTCCGGACAAGCGGCTGACTCGACTGGTGGAGGAGCTGTCCAGAGACAGGCGCTCGATCTTCGGGGGCACGGTTCAGGACTTCCTCCTGGAGCAGAGAGAAGTGCTCAAATCCCTGACCTCCACATCATCCTCCTCTTCCTCAGCACGTGTGACCTCTGTGCAGCTTCTGCAGGGCCTTCGCCTCTTTCTGTCCCAGGCAAAGTGCTGCCTGCTGGACAGCGGAGAGCTGGAGCCTCCCATTGAAACCCTGGTTCCAGAGAACGAGAAAGGTAAACAAATAGGAACCTGGTAAACGTGTCGATACACATTTCTTGGACACATCAGTGTAAGTTACATTATAATCAAACCATCATTTGAAACCTTCATTTAATTTAATTTAAGGAGACTAGCAGAGGCTAATCTGGTTTGAAAGCAGAAATAATTTTATGAGTCAGGTGTTATCATCAGGCACAACTTAAGGGACATACACATCCAATTTTTACTTTTTTTTTTTACACAAAAGTAAATTAGGATTTTTGACTGTATATAAAAGTGGATGTAGCCACTGTGGCGTCACCCATTGGTTTGTGGACTCTCGTTTTGAAGCCTTGCTTTAACCATCTTCGTTTGAAATCAGACATGACGATCTGACTGAGAACTCAAGGACATTATATACGGCAGCAACTTGTCAATCAAAGTGAGCCACACTCTTAAACGCACCCTGCTTTATCATCTGTTTTCCTCTAAATGGAAGCAAAATTTACAAAATGCATTGAAGGAGAAATAAAACTAGTGATCAAGTTCATATACTTTGGAACTTTTTTAAAAGAAAAAGATCAAAATAAAAAGTAGAACCATTTTCTCATAGCCTTCTATTCAATCTAACTTCTTTTTGTAACCAGAGGAGTCTCCCCCTGCTGGTCACTGGAAAGAATGCAGGTTTAAGGCCCGTCCTCATTAGCTTTACTCTTTAGACACGATTCGTCTTTTGAAGCCAGCAGTGGTGATAGAAACATTCTACCACAGAGGTTAAATGCTCCGTTACAACTAAAAAGCCTGCATTCAAATTCCTACTTGAGTAAAACTACAAAAGTATAAACACCAAGAAGTACTTGTAATCTATTTGTTCATTATGTTTTTTTATTATTAAACTAAATTTCCAAATTAATTATGAAATAAACTTCACCAAATAAATGTAGTGGAGTAGAAGTACAAAGTAGCATAAAATGGAAATACTCCAGTGAAGTACAAGTAACTTAAAATTGCACTTAAGTACAGCATTTGAGTAAAAGTACTTAGTTACATATTTTACGTTGAATTACAGTTTTCTGATTCAAGATCTGGGCTGCAAGGTGGATCAGTGGTTAGCACTGTTGCCTCGCAGCAAGAGGTTCGCCAGTTCGCGTCCCAGTGAGGACACCCGGGATCTTTCTGGAGTTTGCATGTTCTCCCCGTGCAGCGTGGGTTCTCTCCGGGTTCTCCGGCTTTCTCCCACACAGTCCAAAAACATGTTGAGGGTGTCCCCTGCCTTCACCCTGAGTCAGCTGGGATAGACTCCAGCCCCACGCAACCCTAGTGAGGATTAACCGGTGTATAGATAATGGATGGATGGATGATTCAAGATCTGTTAATTTGCTAGAAGAAAGGGAAACAGGATAAAGCAATGTTTACATGCACTGGTCAATACTGAGAATTTGGGACATTTTCCTTCTTTAACAAGTATACTTTCAGACTTATAGGGAAATATAATCCAAAATGCACAATTAAGTGTTTATTTAACTAAACTTTTGCTATTTATGTCTGTAGTTTGCAGTTACGATACATTTCTTCCCTCAAAATAGATATTTTTCCATATTCCCTCTTATTTCAATCTATATTCTGAAGGTTTTTCCAGACGGGTTTGTTCATATACCTTTAATAGCCTGGTTTATGTGACATTTTGTTCACAGGATGTGCTTTGTGGCCGTTTACAGTAGTTTCTGAATAATGGAGTGATGAAAGTGATATCTGAAATCCCCTCGACAAAAGCCTTTGACTCTAATATGTGAATATAATGACTTTATGAAGTGTTCAGATTTTCGTCTCTTTTTTTTTCACTTGAGGAAATTTAATGAAGATATCTGCTGGTTAAAAAGTGCACAGTGTCCACCTGTCGTGTCTGCACTTCATTTCTTTAGATTTCCCCAACAGAGGAGCTCAAAGTAAGTTTGTGTCTCTCGGTGAATGATTTGATTGAACCGATCTGACTGTGCTGCGACACAGACTGAGCTCAATATCTTCAACCTTGTGAATTTCTCATATACATGCAGGATTAGTTTATCGCATCAAAAGGAGGAGACGGTGAGTGCAGCGAGGGACTGGAGGAGACAGAGAGATGTGAAGAAAAAAAAAAAAAAACTGTACTATTAGAAAACAGTGATTCAATAGACACAGTGCCAGAGGACGCAGGTCTATGGAAACAGACAGCCTTTTCTGATAAATGGTGGGCTGCCCAGGCTCCAGTGAAAGGCACTGTCAACACAAAGTAGTTTGCGTGGGGGGTAGAGCCTCATTCACTGGAGCTCATATTGTCTCTGGTATTTAGAAAACAGCATTAGGAAAGCCCTGCCCGACGCGCCCGCACTCACATCCATCTCATTCAAAGTGCGATTATTGTAAAGACATCGCAGGGTGTTACTTTGGAAGGATTGTAGTCAGATCTTTTGACACAGTCCTGTGCGTAGGTTTTTCTTTTTTGGCCTGCTTTGTGTGTGGCTGAGTGTGCGCTCGCAGGTGTGTTTGTGTGTAAATGTGTGATGACGGATGGTTGCCCGGCTGTGCAGAGGCTTCAGGGAAGAGTGGTCGGCCGCTGCCTTCCGTCCTCTCTTCCTTCCTTCCTGCGCTGCGATTCTGATTTATCTCGCATTGCGTCGGTGGGAGGCATTTGCATTTTTTTTTTTTCTCCCCCTCGTTTATCATAAAAAGATATCACAGTCCCACGCTCACTTGAAGAGCAGCACGATTCAGGGGAGGGTGGGAGTGAGAGATAGAAATAGGAAGGTTACTTTGAAAATGTAATCAGTTACAGATCTCTGAGTAACGGCTTAAAAAAAACAAACAGCTTTTTGAGGGCTAGCCAGCCAGGCTGTAATCACATTACATGTAATCTGTTACCCTCCAGAGCTCATAACAAAGAGAGGGATGCTGGGATTGATCAGGGAGGGAGGCAGAGAACCAGAGGGCGGAGGGTGTGAATGATTGATCACAAGAGGGAGTGATATAGTAAGGTAAATGAGGGGAGTTGTTGGGGGATTATGCTGCAGGAAAGCATGAAGGATGGAGAGGAGGGAGAGCAGGATATTGATGATGAGTGGAAAACAGAGTACGCTGGAGAATTGTTACCCACTTAGTCAGGACTGCCCACTGACTGCAGGAGAATCACAGAGTGCGTTTCCACGTGTGAGAGCACGCATGCATGTGTGCTGTACATGTACACGAGTTTGTGTATTACTGTTGCCAGGCCAGAAAAAACTCCACAATGTTAGCTTCTGGGGGACTAAGAAAACAGCATTTCTGACTGTATGAGCAAGAGGGTTTACTGGAGGAGTTTGCCATTTGGAGAAATATGCATATTTGCTTTCTTTCCAAAAGTGGCTTGAGGAGTCTGATGCTTTTCTCTTTGCTGAGAACAGAATCAGGACGAGGTTATGGGGGAAAAAATCTAGCTTGACTCTCAGAAATTCTAAAGCTGTGGACGATGTTTAAAGATGGGGGAACCCTCTGTGATGTCATCCATAGATGCTACAACAGATTTCCTGGGGTGGGGTGGCCACTTTGGTGGTGCCTGACTCCTCCTAACTCCCAGCTGAAGCGGTCCATGCAAACGTCTGTGTGCCATTAAGCGTCCTGTGACTGCACCCACCCGTCACTCAAAGCAGCCACGCCTTTAATTATGCATAACTTTGAACCTTAATACGATTTCAACGGCTGAGTAATATACAAATTCACCCCATGCACAGCCTTCAGAAATTAGATGTTATAACCAAAATGATCTTTTGTATGGCTGTAAACTAAACTAACTATAATAAACTTTGCTTTAACATGGTGATCTGTGGGGACTGACTTGGTTTTGGAGCCAACCTCAAGTGGCTATTCAAGGAACTGCAGCATTGTAGCACTTGTGTGATGGCTGAATTTTTCCACAAATCCATGAATTTGTTTTTTTGTGGATCGCACCATATTACACTTCATTTAAAGGGCCCATATTATGTTTCTTTTGGGATTTCCGTTTTGTACATGCAAAGGTCTGAAAACTTACAAAGTCCATGCTAAAGAGTGGTTTTCTGTTCAATGGAAAAGACTGGGCTCTTTAGTTTAACTTGTCAAACTACACGTGCAAGTGTGAATGATGGGATCAATAAAGTACTATCTATCTATCTATCTATCTATCTATCTATCTATCTATCTATCTATCTATCTATCTATCTATCTGTCTATCATAAATGAAGATTCTAATGAACATTAGTGTCAACTTGAATTTGAAAGCCGACAGTGAGATTGGAGAAAATGTGGGTGAGCTCATTTAAAAATCTAAACCAATGAGTGCTATTGCTGGAAATTTTCTCTATATTGATGTCTCCTGGGGGCTGCAAGGTGTCTCGGTGGTTAGCACTGTTGCCTGGTAGCAAGAAGGTCGCATCCCGGTGAGGACACCCAGGATCTTTCTGCATGGAGTCTCCATGTTCTCCCCATGCAGGTTCTCTCCAGGTTCTCCGGCTTCCTCCCACATAGTCCAAAAACATGTCGAGGTTAATTGGTGATTCTAAATTGTCCGTAGGTGTGAATGTCAGTGTGCTTGGTTGTCTGTCTCTAAGCGTAGCCCTGTGATAGACTGGTGACCTGTCCAGGGTGTCCCCTGCCTTCCCCCTGAGTCAGCTGGGATAGGCTCCAGCCCCCCATGACCCTAGTGAGGATTAAGCGGTGTATAGATAATGGATAGATGGATGATGTCTACTGGTATGGGGAGCTTACAAAAAACTAACTGAATAAAAAACAAAAACAGAAATATATATATGTTTATATTATATGTATTGTGACTATAAAGTCGGATAACAAGGTGAGAAGGCAATTTTTCAAGGATGACTAGTGTTGTAATTCACCAAAATACATGTATTTAAGTACAATACTTGTACATAATTGTTGGTGCTATATGTATATATTTTGTGTTTCCCCACTTTTTTGTTTTTTGTTTTTTGTTTTTTTAAAAAAGGAGTAACATCACACTTGAGTTAAAAACAAAAACTGATGTGCAGTGGTACAATTTTAGTGACTGCTGCTCAAAAAAAAAATCTTTCTTTCAAAAGACAACATTCATTCGCAATTACTTAAGTGTTTTCTAAAGTGAAAGCACGTTTCCGGTTTCATCGTTGGCACGCTATTAACTTGACTGTAGTGATGAGTATACCTTTCTGGGCCTCTTGCCAGTAGCTCTAGATACGTAGACATGTTTTACTACCTGCACATGACCAAAATAAGGAATAAAAAACACATAATATCCCAGAATTAGTTCATCTCATGTGCATCAGTGCCAGAGTAGGTGTCAGTTTCCCCAAACACTGACGTCCTCCCTCCCTCTGTCTGCAGACCTGGCCCTGGAGCGGGCCATGTTCTCCTGTGTGCTCCGGCCTCTGAAGTCCCACCTTGAGAAAGCCCTGATCGCTTTGCACAGTCAGGACGGCTCCAGCCAGTGTCTCACCCAGAACATGCTCCATCTGAAAGGGGACGCCGCCATGGAGCGGCTCGGTGTGCGGACGGGCGTCCCAGACAGCCGGGAGGTGGAGCGGGTGAAGCAAAAGCTGATCCTGATGCAGCGGACGCACTCCCCCATCGACAAAGTGCTGCTGCTGCTGCAAGTGTGCAAGTGTGTCCACAAGGCCATGGGGTCCTTACATGGTGAGATGCTGCACAGTCAAAATGAAGCCTTCAGAGTCACGTTGAATGTTTATCTTATTTGTTTTGTGTGGATTTGGTTTGCAGGGTGTATTAGAAATCAGTCAGGAGTTGGTTTTGCAGCAGAAGACAAGATTAACTGTGAAAATATTAGAATAAGATTTGCTGTAACATTGATAAAAATTACTTTTGCTGCTTGAAACAAAGACTCAAGGTCAACAGTCTTTGAAAGACGAGTGTTTTGCCACTTTCAAAAGCTTCCTGTGCCATAAAACGCTGATGACACCCTCTTCTCTAGCTGTCCTTTTCGTGCTTCCTTCACAGGACATGAAGTGAGCTGGGATGACTTCTTGCCGTCGTTGTCTTACGTGATCGTGGAGTGTAGCAGGCCTCACATCCTGATAGAGGTGGAATACATGATGGAGCTGCTGGAGCCCTCCTGGCTCGGAGGAGAGGGTATGACCAAACTGATACTTGTTCATCCAAGAGCTGTGCTGTGTGTTTAGTTTGCAAAGATTTCCCAGAATCCAGGACATGGATATGTTAAACCAACACCAAACTGTTTTTTCTAGTTCTGGAAGGGCAGGATTAACAACCTAGTACAGCGCTGATAAATCTAGTATGATGTGTGTAAAAGACGCGACAACCTTCCTACACAAAACCCAGCTGTACGACAGGTGTGGGCTCACCTGACCTGTCATGAGACTTTCACAGCATCAGTGCAGTGCAGCTTTCATGTGCTTTTTAAACCCACTGTTCTGCCATTTACAAATCACTGATGGAATACTTTATCAGGTGCTTCTGACAAATTAGGTTTTTGCTTGTTATCCTTCTCCACTGACTACTTCATGTGTATAGGTGTGTAAATAGTACATAGGTTAGTACAGTTCTGTGGTCTATGTTAGCAGTGTATCGACAGCAAAAAGACATTGGAACTGTGTGGCTAATAAGCACAATTCGGTATTTGTTTACTTCCTCGTATCGCGTAGTTATACCACCATGCCGTTAAAAACACAAGTAGGTTTTGTGATATTAGTACAGAGCTGCTTCGCATTTTACTTTTTGCATTACTCCTGCTTTTTGTCTAAAAATAGTGTAATCATATTCTGCTGTCTGTCTAGACTATTACTACTCCTGCAAATTAAAAGCAGTTACCGGTTAGATTAATTAAACAGATCATTTTTGATTCTGGAAAACCTTATTTTAATTCATACCTCTGTTCTGTATTTGTTGCTGGTAAACAGGAGTGATGCATTTAGTGGTTAAATGACAAAACAGTCGATAATAAGCTGAACGAAAAGATGAATGGTGCTAGATTTAGTGTTTTTTTTTTTGTTTTTTTTAATGATTTTTCCTTGTCCAACACCTCTCCTGCCTCCAGGTGGGTACTACCTGACCAGTGTGTACGCCAGCCTGTGTCTGATCCAGAGCCTGGACAAGGACCAGTCGATCTCAGGCTGCCTGACGCCGGAGGCCCAGGAGGCGCTGAAGGAGTGGAGCTGCAGACGGAGCCGAGAGGCCCAGAGACAAAAAGAGAATCAGCAGAGCCAAGTAGGCACCAGCTGCTTTGATTGTAGCAGTACACCACAGAATCACTGGTAGCATTTTGTGTGGGTTTGCTATGGAGTAATTTAGTCTATAGCGTATCACAGAACTTGCCCTGTGTGAAACGCTGATTGATGTGTGGACAGTTGCTCATTATGCAGCGAGACACGTCTATGTGAATGAACTATTTCATTTAAAGAAAGTAGATTAAAGTTGCAGATGGCTGAGGGTGGATTAAAGGCTGAAATATCCTTAAACAAACAGTGGGATGGAATATTTTCACTGGAGGTTTCTTATTCTCCTTCACTGTTCATAGAGTGGATTCAAAACTTGATAAAAATGTACCTTTTTTTACAAACTCAGAAACTCTTTAAACATATTTTTAGAAATTTTTTATTAAAAATCAACAACTGATATCTCATTCAAACAAGTACTCATATCTATTCTTCTTTAGCTTTATACCTTGTAGAACCTCCTCTGACAGCTTTTGCAGCTTTGGGTCTTCCTGTGTTGGTCATACAAGCTGTGAGCAGCTGAGTTTTGGCAGTTTCTCTGATTATTCATCGCAGATCCTTCTCAAATTGAATGAGAAGCATTTGAAACCGCTTCAGGTCTCCCCACAGGTGTTCTACGGGATTTAAGTTTTGCTTCTGTTGAAGTGAATGTTCGGTTTCTGATGTCCTTCCTTACCAAGGACTTGTCCGTTTTGTCAACTCTAGGGAGACTCTTAGTAGTTTCATATTTTTTTTTTTTCCATTTCACAATTCTTAAAGCCACTGTGCACTTTGTAACACTCAGAGTTTCAAAATAATTTTACGCCTCGCACTGAATGGGTCTGTGTACTTTGTGAATCCACTCTCAGAGTATCTCAGACAAGGTCAAGAAGCGCTTCGTACACAGCCTCTGAGCTGCGTGCTGCTTTTTTGCTGCTTTTCTGTGGTACTGGTGTAAAGGGCAAGTTCCTAAAGACTCCACGCATTAGCTTTACCCGCTTTATCCTGTGGAGGGTTACAGGGGGATGGAGCCTTTCTCAGGGGGAAGAGGAATCTAACAGCGAGGCAGACAACCATCACATTCACACTGATGAACAGCTTAGAATCACCAGTTAGCCCACCATGCATGTTTTTTAGACTGTAGGAAGAAAACCCACACAGGAGCAGGGATAACACACAAACTCCACACAGAAAGACTTCCAGCAGGTTAGAATCCCAGAAGCTTCTTGCTATTTGTACACTAAATATGAAGTTACAGCCAGCATCTGGTCAGCTTGGCTTAGTTTATGACTGTAAGAAAGGTCTCAGCTGTGTGAAACAGGATTTTTGCAGTTGACATTTCCACGTGTATACCTGTATTGCATCTGTAGCACAGGGGAATGTGTGATCCAAAGTGTTTACACGGCTCACAAGGCTTTTAAAAGTCTACAGCTGACAATGTACCTGAAATGATCTGCCATGATATTGTGGGTTTAAGCTCCAGCTTATCCGGGACTTCAAGAAGTTGCGAATCACTAAGCCGCTAGGAATCAACCACAAGCTCTTTCTACGAATCAAACTGTCACAAAACCTGTGTTATGTCTTTCAAATTGTGCAAAAGACACATAAACAAGGCGATAATCCATCCAAAGAGGTCAGACATTACATTACAGTACATTAATTATACTGATGGCGATGCGCGCTGAGCAGCATCACTTTGTCCTACATCTGTGACTCCGGCAGGTTGGATAGAATGAGCAACAATGGCCCATATCTGATTCAGAATTGATCTCAGATGCTGCTGCCACAGCTGCTGCTGCTGCTGCTGCTGTTCGGGAAGTTGAGGATCGCGTTTGAATGCTCTCGAGGTCAAGAAAAAAAGTGTAGATGTTCCAGCGGGTCAAACACCTAAAGTGAGACAACACACCTGGATTTCCCTTCTTTGCGTGCAAACACGTTTCAAATTCATTTGAGGGGATTAGTTTTTAGACATTTTTAGAGGTAATCCGCTGATCTGGGGCCACCAGCTTACGCCTGGATGAACACACACACACTTTTTATCCACACTCTCCTATTATCACCCTCCTGGCCCCAGATTGGTACAACGGTCCACCAGATGCCATGGAAAAAAGGCATTGTCATCCACAACGTTTCTGTCTCGTCACGTGGTGCCTCTCCTGGCTTCAAATAGCCGATCTAACTCACCCGGCAGCCAGATTTTCCACTGACACAGGCGGGGATCAGTGAGCCAAGTGCTATGAAGAAGTGGGCGGTCAGATAACATGAAATTTATTGAGCTGCATCTACCCATCGAAGCAGGCAAACACAATATGCACACGGACAGCGAGGAGCTCAGTGACTCTGTAAGTTTTGATGATGGGAGACCTGTTGATTGTAATTGCTACTGTGTGTGTGTGTGTGTGTGTGTGTGTGTGTGTGTTTTACTTCTTTTTTTTTAAAGAGCCTTTGTGGCCACTTGTGCATCTGTGTGTGTGCTTTGGGGGAGGTAGTTGTGTGTGCAGGTAGGACTGCTGGTGTGTGTGTGTGTGTGTGTTTGTGTTTGTGTGTGGCAAAGAAGAGGATTCTCTCTGGTTCCTCAAGGTTGGATGTTTGGTAAAAGGATTTAGTCCAGTATGTTTTCATTGTGTGTGTGTGCTTTACAGAGAGCTGTGAGGGCGTCTGTAGGTGGCTGAATCTGACATTATATAATGGCTTAAGTGTTTGAAAAGTGGCAATTGTTGATACCGACTCGTTAGATTTGTGTTTGATCGCTTTTTGCTCTTCTGGAAATGTCAAAAAGTTTCTGTTTGGACTAAAGTGCACGAGAGAGAAAACTTCAGCAGCAGCAGCAGCACCACAGTAGACTGAGCCCAATGGAGGAGATTTGATGAGTTTGGACGCAGACTTGCTGTAATGGATTAAAGCTGGGACTTTGTCAATGAAGCTGTAACATGCAACAGAGAAAAGAGCAATATCAGGAAGATGATTTTCATATAAAACTCTTGGATCCGCTGCCTGTGTGTGGGAAGAAGAAGCTTTGTTTTAGAGGCAATTTCTTTTATAAACATCAATTTGGCTCATTTATTGTAGCGGATTATCAGCCTGTGTGCTCGCACAGTTTTCACTCCTCCTCTGGCTCCATCTCTCTCTCCTCCCCCTCTTTTGCCCTCACTCCATAAGCCTCTTGACCTCTGTTTTGCATGAATACAGTATATATTCACTCTTTTTTCTCTCTCTATCTCCTCCCCTCCCACCTCCCTCCCTCCCTCCTTGCAGAGGTGCGTTCGGATACTGTTCCAGGACGGGGAGCGGAGCGCTGTGCGGACGTTGCAGTGGAGAGCCGGGGAGACGAGCCAGGCCCTGGCACAGCTGTGTGCCTCCACCTTCGGAGTGTCCGACCCGCAGCAATACACCCTGTACTGGCGCAGCGGCGGCGAGATGAGGGCCCTGCCGCCTCAGGCCCAGCCCCAGGACCTGGCCAGCCACAGCGAGGGAGGCCCCTCGCTCTCCTACCTGAGGACCGACCACGACTTCAGCAAGATGCGGCGGCTCACCAGAGGTGGCGCCGTGGACCTGAGCGAGTCGGTGTGTGAGGAGTGAGTGGGAGGCAGGGAGGAAGGAGGGAGGAGGAGGAGGAGGAGGAGGAGGAGATGGATGGTCGCTCTCGCTTTCTCTCTCTTTCTCTCTCTTGTTCTGTCTCTTTCTCTCCGGCGGTGTGTTGTGTCTCGTCGTGGGTCAGGACTTGTTGTGAAAAACTACAGCCCTTCTCCAGACCAGGAGCAGACCTTGATCGGTAAACTCTTCCCTAAACGGACCAACATGCAGAGCAGAGCAGGACCAACATAGGGACTGTTGCCAAAAGTTGTACTATGTACCACTCAGTGTGGCTGCTAGTGTAAAGGAGTGTACTATTTGTGACATGGAAAATGTGTAATAAATGGAATTTGTTATTTGAAACATGAACCCAGAGTTATACCATGAAGGGATTACATCACTCAAACGTGAGGAGGCTCAAATCCAAAGACAAATTCTGTGAGACTACTGTTGCCTGGAAACAAAATCACTTCCTGAACGCACACGAGAAGGCAAATTGTCCACCGTGCTGATGTAACCCTTTCACAGTATAGTTCTGGGCAAAATCTAAAAGACACTTGGATGTTTTATTACTTCACTTGTGTGTGTAAAAGTCTGCAGATCTTTGGATGGAACTATGCTGTTAAAGGAGGGGACACGAGCCTTTCTGTGCCCCCTGGAATACAGTTTGTCAAAAAGGTGAGACGTGTTCTAGCCAAGACCAAACCTCAATACCAAAGTGACATAAAGAAACCGACTAAGAGGCCATTTTGATAGACAACAGGTGTTTACTTTGAAGGAAATCAGGTTTTTCAAGCTTGAGGGAAGCTTTAAATCAGCTGTTTATTTTTAGAATCACCCACAGAGACAATTTATTTTTACTTTTTTGAGAAAAAAAAAGCCTCTCCTCCTTGCTTTGCTATTTAATGGCGCTGGCAGGTGGAGTAATGGGCGAGTAGGAGGGAAGTGATAGAAAAGCATCAGCTCTCTGTTTTTAAAACCATGTGAGGAAGAAAAAGAAAAAGCACTTCACATCGACACACCGAGACAACCTGCAACAGATTTACTTAATGACTTGCGAATGTATTCAAATCTTTTTTCCGTGTCAGAGTTTTAATCCTTTCAGAACTGCATTCATTTCACGTTTCAACTCACCGCTTTTGAGTTCTACTGTTTCTCTTGGCCGAACTGTAAGATAACTTTGTGTTCTGAGCGGACTGAGAGGACAGTCTGACCAGTAAACCAGCACCTCACAGTGACTGGTAGAATGTAAATGTACACGTCACCAGCTTCTGGTGCCTCCTGCTGCAAGTCATCACTATCAACTGACTGTTCAAACTCAGTGTCATTATCGATTATCATATTGTGTATTTAAAAACTAACTTTTAATTGTTCAATTTGTTGGGTAGATATCAAACCTAAGTATGGATTTTCGACATATCTGGAGTTTTCAATCGGCCGAGGAGGTTCACTTTGGGAACTATGACGTGTTTTGGACATTATTGCATGCTTTTTCATTTAACGTGAAGGTTCTGCGAATGTGGTGTGTGTGTGCGTGAAGCATGTGTTCATTGTGAGAGCTCACTATTTCTTTTCAGTGTAAAAACACATTACTGTATTTTTGTCAGGTAACTCAGTATCGCAATAAAAAATGCAATATCTGTGTTGTTACATCCACTTTTGTACCACAGTGGGATTGTGAGTGTCTTAAATCAACCACTTGATGGCAGCAAATGCCAACGGCGTCATTTTAGTCACTTTCAGATTTGTTGTTTATTCTGCAGGAGCGTTTGGTTTCTTATCTTGGTAATTCTACGCATTTGATATTGGAAAATTTTAGGAATTAACACATTAATGACAGCACAGCATCTGCATGTATGTTAATCTTTATTCAAAAGCATGTTTAAAAAATGGCACTTATTTTAAAAATAATTATATGTGACTGACAGATATTCTCTAAAAACAAGAAATAACAGTATGTTGTAATAAAATTCACTTTTACAGTAGGATGAGAGGAATGACATCTACCCTAATGGGCAATATTTCACATTTTCTTTTTGTTAGTTCCAGTATATTTTTACACAAGAAAAGTTCAGGGCACTCTTTAAATTGGTAGAATGTGGAGGTAGAGTCACTCCAGAAGTTATTGAAAGTAAAATTTCACCCAAATATTGTCTTTTTTTTCCATCCTAAAGCCTTATCAGCATTGCCGAAACCTGAATCAAGACTCAATTTAAATATATATTTTAAAAGTTTCAATGTGAATCTGAGGTCTTCTCACCAAATCAGAAATATTGCAAAATAAATCACCTTTTACATCATCTATTTGTTGAACGTCACAAACAGGTGAATAGATTGAGATTTTAGGGCCAAAAAATTGCTTTTAATATGAATTTGGCAGATTTTTTTTTAGGTTAATCATCAAATCGATCAAAAAAAAATTCTTATCAATCAACTACTTTTTATTCAAAGAAAATGTTAGAATATCCAAAAATGTTTACTTTGGTACAATACAATTGATTAAAAACTGAAAAAGAAATCTCACATTTGAGGATATGTAACAATCTGTGTAGTATTTTTATTTGACAAAACTATATATAAAAAACATTTTAGCACTGACAGAGACGGAAAAGAGTCGATAAATTGACGTTTTTATCCAGAATGCGAGACTAAGAGGTGAGGAGTTGATAGTAAAGTTGAAGAAAAAAAAAAAATCAGATCTTTGAGTTTTTCGTCTGTATTTATTTGATCATGTTTTATTTCAGCGTATTTTATCTGACTCCACCTCCCAGCTTCTGCAGCACTCCCAGGCCTTTCTCCAGATACTCCTCTCTGCTCAGCCAGAAGGAGTCCTTGTCTTTCATGATGTTGGCCAGCACCGCGCCGCCCAGGAACACCATGTGTTTACGTCTGGGAGGGTCCTCAATTCGGATCTTAAACTTCTGCAGAGGCGAAGAATGAAAAAATGAGGGGAGGTCTTTAAAACACATTTCTACATGAACGCATTTTCTTGTTCATGTTGCTGCGTCACTGCAAGCAAATATTTGAGTTAACATAAATTACTAGAACAAAATGTTATGTTTTAGCTTTGGGTTTAACATTTGGGACCTTGGAGATGTTGAGACAGTTTGCATTTGGAAACAACAGTAGCAGAACAACTACAGCTTCAGGTCCACTTAGTCGTTGATTAAACCCCTAAAAACTCCTCTCTGTGCATCAAACCCCATTTATCTGCTTTGAAGTGGTTTAGATGTAACTTCACCCCACTGCTTCCTCCAGAATGTGCAGGTCTATTAAGTTCCTGCCTCTTTTTCCACCCAAAAGCTTCAAAACACTGAACTCGAGGTCTGAGACTATTTTGTCAGCCGTCATGCTTTTAGGTGCTGCAGGTGTCTGAGCATCTGTTTATTCAACCAACTGAGGAACCTCCATCTGCTAAAGAGGATCATAGGAGACGGCGAAAAGCTCCAAAACAAGCCCATAAGCGGACCTTAAGCTCAGGCTGTCAAATTAAGTTGTTACAAAAAGACCTGTTTAATAAATGTCATGTAACAATTATTAAATTAATGGAGTGAGTATTATGTGACATTAACTGATGACATTAACAGTGTTTGACATTTATGCAAAAGGTATTACAGAACCCTTGTGTAACACCTTATTTAACACCCTGGTGCTGCTCTCATACAAAACACAGACTGCTTTGTGCTGTTGTTCGATAAATGAAGACTCCTTTAGAAGTTCTTACGGATAGTTTCTGAGCGTCTCCATCGAGCACCCTCTCCAGGTAGAGCTGCTTGATCTCTCGTTCTAGTCTGGATGGAAGGCCGGGGTACATGGTGGAGCCTCCTGACAGAACGATGTGCTTGTAGAAGTCGGCTCTGCACAAGAAAACAAACAGCAGAGATCTTCTGTCAGATAAAATAAGACGCTTGGCGTTGTGCAGCTTTATTCCAGAGGGCAGGGAAGAGGCTCAGACCTGAGGTCGATGTCTGCGGCCTGGATGGTGTTAAACAGCAGCTCGGCCACTCCGGCTCCCTCTATGTTGATGAGGTGAGGCTGGAAAAGAGCTTCAGGGGCCCCGAATCGCTCTCCGCCAACGTTCACCTGCCGGCCATCAGGGAGCTGCACCAGGGAGAGGAACCAAGTTTTAAATGGAGCTTTTTGCATTGTGAACACATGAGGCCTGTGGTTCCTAATCTGGAGAGGAGTACTCTACTTAATGTCACCAGATGGATGTGAGAGGCTGCAGGATGATTAAACAATTACTATGCAGTCTATGTAAAGGATTTTCCTGTTTTTTAAGTGGAGTAAAATGAAACTAGGATGCTGCTCCTCATCGCACCGTGTACGACTCCACCAGGTAGGTGGTTTCTATGGCGAGACGCTGCTCTTGTTCAATGTTGTATCCCACGTAGCAGAGCTTCTCCTTCAGCATCCGCACAGTCTCAAAGTCAGCAGTGTGGTTGAAGGCGTAACCGCGAAGGAGCAGGAGCTAACAGGAAGATAAAAAGTGTCTTGTCGAATCAAGAATTTAAAGAACAGTTTTTTTAATGTTCATTTTTACAGATGTAGTGAAATCGTTCTTGTATTTTCACATTTTGTCCAGTTATTCAGGCCCTACAACCCAAACACTGAGCTTTTCTCAGCTCACCTTAATGAGGTATCTCGTGATGTCCCGTCCTGCGATGTCCAGCCTTCGTGTGAGATGAGGCAAAGAGAAGCCCTCGTACACTGGACAGATGTGGGTGACGCCGTCTCCCGAGTCGACGACCACACCGGTAAGCAAACCTGCAGGTAAAACATTGATTAACACTTTCACTGTTCACTGAAGAAGAAAAAAAAATGTGTTGACTTAACATCAAAAAGTGCATCAGTTGCACATAAAGTTATGTTTAGTCAACATTATCTGTTCTCATTACGTAAGTTAGGTTTGTTAGACAAACATATTTTTTGCTTTTATGCTTTTCATTCACGGCAAGTATTTACAGATAAGATTTTTCTAAAATATTTAGTATTGATATGGAACA